TCGTCGGCTGTTATCGTTCCCAAGAAGTAGTCGTCATCCGGGTCGTCGGGCTTTGGTTGGTCGACAGGCGCACGAGAGAGACAATCGGCGTCGGAGTGTTTCTTGCTGGATTTGTAAACGACGATAATGTCATATTCTTGAAGTCTCAGGTTCCATCGTGTGAGGCGACCTGAAGGGTCCTTCAATGTAGCTAGCCAACACAAGGCGTGGTGTTCGCTCACAACTTTGAAGGGCCTGCCGTAGAGGTAGGGGTGAAATTTCGACGTAGCCCAGATGATGGCGAGGCACTTCTTTTCTGTTGCGGAATAATTGGCTTCTGCTTTGGATAGCGATCGGCTGGCGTAACTAATAACCCTTTCAAGTCCGTCAGCCCTCTGCACAAGAACAGCGCCGAGACCTACGCTGCTTACGTTAGTGTGTATTTCTGTCTCAGCGAATTCGTCGAAATTGGCAAGTAACGGAGGCGTCTGGAGGCGATGTTTAAGCTCCTGGAAAGCGTGTTCCTGTGGCGTTTCCCACTTGAACTCCACATCGGCCTTGGTAAGGTTAGTGTGTGGATCGGCGATGCAGGCAAAGTTTTTCACGAACCGCCTATAATAGGCACACAGGCCCAGAAATCGGCGCACCTTCTTCTTGTCAGTGGACGGCGGGAAGTTGGCGATGGCGGCTGTTTTTCGTGGATCAGGACAAACTCCAGACTTGCTAATCACATGCCCCAGAAACAAGAGCTCCTCGTACGCAAATCTGTACTTTTCTGGCTTCAGTGTGAGTCCGGACGTCTTGATGGCTTGAAGTACAGCTTCAAGGCGCCGAAGATGCCCATCGAAACTCAAGGAAAACACGACAACGTCGTCCAAGTACACAAGGCAAATCTGCCACTTCAATCCTGCCAGTACTGTATCCATAACGTGTTGAAAAGTTGCAGGCGCTGAGCAAAGACCGAAAAGCATCACCTTAAACTCGAAGAGGTCGTCCGGTGTTATAAACGCCGTCTTCTCTCCGTCTCTTTCGTCGACTTCGATTTGCCAATAGCCAGTCTTGAGGTCCATTGACGAAAAATACTTGCTGTTATGGAGCTGATCAAGTGCGTCGTCTATTCGTGGGAGACGATACACGTCCTTTCTTGTGATTTTGTTCAGGTGGCGATAATCGACGCAGAAACGTAGGGTCCTATCCTTTTTCTTCAGTAACACCACGGGGGACGCCCTTGGACTCTTGGACGGCTGGATGATGTCATCCCGCAGCATTTCATCAACTTGTCTCTTCATGGCCTTGCTTTCTCGCGTCGATCGGAAGTCTGGGATTTACGTCGAACGCTGTGGGTGGGGCTTGGTTCCTTTGAGCAGGTTCCGCAGCATCGGCGAGGGCGAAAGCAGTAGTGGCTTCTACAATTTCTTCGATGTATGCGACCATCGTTCCTTTGTTCACATGTTTGTACTCATTGCTGAAATTCGTAAGCGTAACCGTTGCTTTGCCTCTCCGCAGCTCTGTAATTACTCTTGTGACGCAAATATTTCGGGTGACCAACAGATGCTGACTGCCTTCAACGACGCCTTCCAAGTCAGGTCATTTAGGAGCGTTGACTGAAATAATGCCGCTGGAGCGAGGCGGAATGGTGACTTGTTCTTCCAGGACATTCAAGGCATGGTTTCTTGACGGCGTGCGCGGCGGTAGTGCTTCTTCTGTGGATAACGTTATCGACATTGTTTTTAGGTTGATGACAGCACTATGGAGGCATAAAAAGTCCATGCCAAAAATGACCTCTCGAGCAACGCTGTAGGACTATGAAGTCTGCAGGATAAATACGGCCGTTAATGGTTACTCTTGCTGTGCAGATTCCTGCTGGCGTTCTGACATGACTTCCGGCTGTGCGGATTTCGGGGCCTTTCCAAGCTGTCTTAACTTTCTTCAATTTCGCAGCGAACGACTCACTAATGACGGAATAGTCGGCTGCAGTATCAGCGAGAGCGGTCACACTGTGGCCGTCGATAAGAACGTCGAAGTCGCTAGTTCGCCGTCTCGCGTTGCAGTTAGGCCGTGGCGTCGGGTCACGGCTTTGTCGGCTTGTTCCGCTGCTTCTCTGTTGCATCGTCAGGTCACCTTCGGTGAGTGAGGTTTCGTCGTCAAGACTTTGCCTGGTTGGCGTGGTGTTCGGGAAGCTCTGTCGCGCCATCGTCGTCGTTGGAGATCTTGGGTAGTTCATCGCACAGCAACCGCACCTCCTTCGGTTGCTGCCCTTAGTTTCCCGGATACGGACTAGGAGACCGGCCCCGTGTTGGGCCAGAGTACTGCTGGTGGTGCGGTGACATGCGGCGGCTGGGCGGCGGCAAACGTGAAGACTTCGTGGTGTCCTCTGAGTTTCTGTCAGGTAGTCTGCGATGTCACGTGGCTGTTCGCCTGGCTGCGGACGTGGTGCATTGACGGCGAAGCCACGCAGTCCCATCTGTCGGTACTGGCAATGGCTCTGTCGGTACTGGCAATGGCGGTTGTCAGGTGCACGCCAAACGTTGATTTTCCTCGGCGCACTGCGCTGGCCTGCTGGCGAACAGTAGGGCATCGGGGGGGGGGGGGGGGGGGGGGTGGCATCTGGCAACGGAAGTGCGATGGGGTGGCGTTTTGGTGTGGACGGGGAGGAGCGTTGTGGCGCACCGCAGCGGCCTAGCTCATAGCTTTCTGCTTGGGCAGCGGTGCTTGGGGAATTCGAAGCGATTGCCGAACTTCTTCTCGCACAATGTCGGCGATCGAATCCACTTGAGGCTGCGCCGAAGGCAACAGTTTGCTACGCTCTTCCTGCACGATCCCTCGGATCGTTTCACGCAGGGCTTCGGAGTCAATGGCTTGAGCAGCAGCGCAATCTGGAGTCAGGCGACAATTATACTGTCTTGTGCGCATGTCCAGGGTCTTTTCGATTGTGGTCGCTTCGGCTATAAATTCTTGGACGGTGTTTGGTGGATTTCCCATCAGTCCCGCGAAGAGCTCCTGTTTGACCCCTCGCATGAGGAAACGAACTTTCTTCTCCTCAGGCATGTCTCGGTCAGCGTGACGAAATGGGCGGGTCATTTCTTCTGTGAAAAGGGCAACATTTTCATTTGGTGGCTGAACCCGGGTCTCTGGTGAAGCAGCAGCCCTCTCTTTGCGAGCGATGCTTGGGAATGTTTGCTGGAATGCGCCGCTGAAGACCTCCCACGTTTGAAGCGCGGACTCCCGATTTTCGAGCCAGGTCCTTGCAGTGTCTTCCAGGTAGAAGTACACATGACAGAGCTTTTCTTCATTGTCCCAGTAGTTGAGGGTGGCCACACGGTCGTATGTTTCTAGCCAGGTCCCCGGGTCTTCGAACGATGACCCATGGAAAGTTCGTGGTTCCCTGGGTTGATGCATGACGATCGCGGGCTGGAACACTGCGGTTGTCATTGTCGCTGCAGTCGAGGTCATGGCCTTGGTCTTCCGCGCCTTGTCTTGTAGTTGTTTGTACTCCGGTGGTAGACGTTGCTGTCGGTGGCCTGTTCTCTGCTTCTGGTTGGCATCGGTGTCTTCTCCGCGACGTGGGCTGGGTTCACAGCTTGACGGGGGCGTCCGGTACATGAGCGAATCAGCACCTCCACCAGATGTCACGGGGTCGTGACGTGGCCGTAGGCAGGAGACTTTATGTTGGGATTCAACTGTTTATTTGGGCGAACCTGTGCCCGGTAAACGGAAAGTCTGATTACAGTAGCAGTCTTGCACAGATAGCAGTGAACGGAGCGTCGGCCGTCGATCAACTACTGACAAGCTGCGAAGTGCGTCGGCATTTATACTCTTGCCATCGAATGCTCTAGCGTTATCGCTGGCGGTGACGTAAGTTCCAGAATAATCTGTACAGTTTGCGGAGTGGGCGTGATCTTATCGAAATGATCTACTACAGTCCTGAAGCTTCTCGAAAACTGCAGGCGCGGTTTGTGCTGAGAATTGTGTAGTGTATTGGGGCGATAACAAAACTTGAGGAATGGAACGTGGCAATATCTAATATCAAGTTCTTGAACATCGAAGTATTTCTGGAGTCAGCATTTGGGCAAGTGGTCTTATCTTTGTCAAAACTGCAACTGCATCTTTTATTTTGAATATGTGCCTCTTAACTAGTACAGTGGCTGTTTAAGAGATGTCTGAAAAAGTCACTATGTTAAATTATTAACGCGATGGCATTAAAGAGCTCATTTCGCAGAAATTCCTGCGTCGGCATCATTGGTTGTGAGTGAAAAATCATCTTATGCGAGGCGGATAAATCAAGAACGATGCAAATAAAATAAATAAATTATAAAAAATCCGGGCGCAGAGTGGGAATCTAACCAGGGTTGTTTGGGCTCAAGTGGGAATCGAACCCAGGTCGTTTGCGTGGCAAGCGGACGTTCTACCCCACAGCCACGGCTCTGCTTGTGAAAACAGGGAAAAGAATTTTCTCTGATTGGAAATGCACTGAAAATAGCTTTCATGCTGTACAAACAGATGTGTCCTGTATACATGCTTCACAATGCAACATGAAATATTGTGGTAATAATGCGTGGTACAAGCATTCATTGCCAGCGGGCTTCACAATATGCGATTATCAGCGTGGTTGAAAGCCGGTACCCCACTACAAAAGGCACACACGCTACTGCGCCTATTTTCTTAAGGCCACACAGTGGGTGCATAGCAAATTTGAAAAGGTTTCATGCACTAAGTGTTTGAAGTATGCACTAGAAACAGGGTGTCGCTATCGCGATGAACTTCTAAAGGCAAAGCTTTAGGGTCCCTCAAATTTTTTTTTCCTCCTGCAAACAGCACTAATGTACAAGTTGCACCTACTGATTACCAACTGTATGTTCAGGCTAGGCATGATGGTTTGTGTGCCTGTTTTGTGGACAGGTGCTGTGATATTGTTGATGATTGCTGCTGTATGTGTAAAAATGTGGCTTATGTGCATTGATTCTAACTGGTCTTAGTGGATTGCATTTGTAATCTTAACAGTGCTTTTGAATACTTTACAGCAGGCAGCCCAACCTTCTAAAGCAACATCAGATCAGCAGCGTGGGTCATTCTTGACACCCTCAACTCCTGCAAAGTCGACCACATCAGTAGAGACTAGGGATGCCATATTGACACCAACATCATTCGGACTCTCAGAAGGGGCCACACAGTCATTTCGTACATCAAAACCTCTTGTACGTACTGAAGCGGCTGCATGAAGTGGTGTTCTGTCTGGTGCTGCGTTAGCACGAACCATACCCCCAGAGCCATCTAGATTGGTGGTATGGTGTTTGAAATAAAAAGAAAACCCAGTGCTTGACCAATCATCCTTAGCCTTCCTGCAAAAGTGTTTTTTTTTTTTTTTTTCATATGTTGATGGCAAGACAAGTAGTATTGATTTGTTCAGCGATGCGATATCTTGCTTAGGTGAAGTCACAAACACTAGAATTGCAGTTGAACCTCCACGTAATGGAATACTAATAAACATCTCTGAAACAAAAACCAGTAATATAAATTTACGTGCATATAACACAGGATTTCATATATCCCAATCGAATGCCTGCTTCTTTTTCGCAGAAGTAGTTTGCCCTGCTGATGGCATGAAGTTTATTTGATTGTTCTGCCTGTGTTGTTTTTTATATCTGCTGCTGTCGTTCCGATGTTCATTTGTCACATCTTTATTGTGGAGCTGGGGCTGTATTTAAGGTCCACAAGTGCCTGAGTCAAGTCAAGCCACAAGTGCCTGAGTCAAGCACACTGACTCAGGCACTTGTCGCACTTTCCACAATGCTGATTGTTTTCTAAAAAAAAATTTCTTAATACAAGCCAGCCTGTTGAATGCCTTGGCTTATGTTCACAAACCTGACGTAATGTTGATGAGTTTCCCTTATGCCACTGTATGAATTTAAATTCATAATTTACACCAGTCAGTTTATGTTGTAATACTTGAGCTTGTTTTTTTGTATGTGTTGCATTCGCAGTGGCCTCTTCCTTAGTTTTCAGCTGAGTTGATTAAACTGCTGCTGTAATGAGTGGACAGACAAGCCTTAATTCTTTTTTTTTTTCTTCAGCCGCTGACAAAGGTGATTGAGGTATCAGTGCAACCCAGCAGCAGCGATTCAGACCACAAGGGTTCGGCAGCACTTGCCGCCGTGCGTCTTCGAGACCACAGTGACCTAACCATCACACCGCTGACTATGGCACCACCAGAGATCTCGTCTGCAGCTGTTACGACTGTTGTGACAAAGCCACTTCCAACTCGCTCTGAGGCCATAGTCACCTCCAAAGAGGCGGGTTCGCTGTCTTCTTTCACAGCACCTAGTAAGCGTGGCTTTCTCTTGCTTTTGATGTGGAGGTGCCCATATATTGTCTAAAATATTGCATTTTGCATGTAAAGCAGTGACATCTACATATCAAAGATTTTAAATATACTGTAGACTCGTGATAATTCAAGCTCTGATAATTCATACTTTCGGTTAATTCAAACAAAATTTTTATTTTGTGGTTGGCCTTCTGTTCTTTCAATTCATTTAAAAACCTCTTAATTTAAGCTCTGTCATTCGGTTAATTCATAAATTTTGCAGGTCCATACCAGAAAATATCTGTTGCTTTCCCTGTACTTTTGTGTGCTTATATAATCCTCAAAGTCTAAAAATTAAATATAAGCACATGAGGCCTTCAAGAAAAAAGCCTTTGCTAGTAAACAAATGTTTGAAATGAAGCACACGCATGGTAAACCATGATGCTTCTCAATTGGTATAGAGAGCTTTGTGCTGAAGGCACATATAGCAATGAAGCAGTTGGCAATTCACGATTACTTGAAAAATCTGATCAGCAGTAAATGGCCACTAAACTTGTGGATTTTACACCTCTGCTTTCTGTTCACTGCATGCAGTTAGGTCTAACAAATTTTTAAATGTGATAACATCAATGCCTAATGATAACGCATGGTGTCACCTTTCCCAGAGTCATCTATCTGAGAACTTCTCATAATTCAAACTTTTTCATAATTCAAACAAAATTCAGAGGTCCCTTCGAGCTTGAATCAACAATAGTCGATTGTATATGTGACAACCATGCCTACCGAGTAACTGAATGCCCCCTGACGATACAGTGAGCAACAGCTCAAACCGCACTTATTTCCACAAATTAGAATTGTTATCTATCCCTTTGCACTTGGTCTGCAGTGAATATGTTCATAAAGTAGTGTACACAATAAGATTTGTTAAGTTTGTTTGAGAGGAGGCTTTAGGTTGTAAGCTTCACCCGCCGCACTGGTCTAAAGGTTATGGTGCTTGACTGTTGATCCAAGGTTTGAGGGTCGAATCCTGGCCTTTTGATGGAGTCAAAAAGGGTTCAGGCCCGTACACTTAGATTAAGGTGCACGTTTAAAGTGGGTCCAAATTTCGGTCGAAATTTTGGGAACCCTCCAGTGGGCCATTTTTTATAATCATATAATGGTTTTAGGGCATGAAACTAACAACTATTATAGCTATTATTAGACGTGTGTGAATGTTAGAGCACTTGAAATATTTGAATTATAGTTACAGTATTTATATTCGCCTCCACACGAATTTTAAGGTATTTGAAATTTCAAAGTATTCAAAATGAACTAATAGACATAAAAACCATGTGTAACTCTTTGTAGAGGTTTTTTCACTGTGGTAGAGGGGCACTGTACCGTGAATACACTTTTCCAAGGGAAATCCACACTGCCATAAAGCTCTACTTCAAGGTTAACTCTGAGGTTTTTTTTTTTTTTGCAAAATGCATCCAAAAGTGTCAATTTTTTTATTGCTGTATTAACTTCTTCAAATCTGTTTAACAAACAAAGGTTTCTAAATACTATTTTTGGGGTGACTCTAAAGTGACAAAAAAAATTTTGTTGTTACATGCACATGATTTTTGTATGAGTAAGTTAAATGAGTAAGGCAAGTTAAAAAAGAAAGAAACTTATACGACTTAAAAAAAACTTGAGTTGCAATATAAATGTCTCTGTAATTCATAGACATACAAAAATAAGTGCACAAAGTGGCATCAAGTGGAAACATGGAGGGAGGAAAGCCAAGTTTATCCAGTCAGCATTGTCTTACTGTGCACGCTTTTGAGATATTGCTTGTTCATCGACATCTCAATCTTAACTGGTAAGTAATGCCTGGTATGTCCAACTGGGGTTTACTGAATTAGATTCTGATTTGCTTGTCCGAATCATCACAAGGCTCACTTTTACAGCCGAGGAACCGGCACACACTTTTATAGCCTGAGCAAACTGTGCGGTTAGGGCTCTGAAAAAAAGTTGTGTAGCTGTGAGGGTATTGGGAAGGCAAAAACAAGCCAGAAACCTATAATAATTATTCATCTTATGGGGAATGAAAGGGAAACTTTTTTTGCGTGTTCCCAAAACAGTCAATGCTACCGCATAAGCATCGTATGCATCAGTCAGCGCCTACACAGAGCTGTAATCGCATACCGGGGAGGAATAAACGAGATACGCTCATACCTCATTATAACAAAGTTGCATCTTACAAAAAAATAAGTTTGTTATATTCAAGAATTATTAAAGACGATAGTCTTTCTTGGGGACCTTCGACGCAAAAAATTTAGTCAGTCTGTCTGTCTGTCTGTACATTTGTCTGTTTGTCTACTCTTAACAGCATTGGGTATTTGAAACTGCCGACCCCATTCGCAGCGCCCACCTATGTTGCTCAAGATTCAGCGTTCATACTTGTGCAGTTGTCGATTAAAAAGCAATTATTGCGCGTGTCTGGGGCACCATAACAACACGTATATATTCTGCATGTGCGCCTTTTACTAAAAAAGGCATACATATGTAATTTTAAGGACTGTAGCGCTTATCACCCTGCGCTGACCATCCAACGCTTGCACGGCAAAACGAGTGTTTCCAACGCTTTGCTAAAACGAGACGGTAGTGGCACCTACCCGTCGCCTTGCGTTCTACACCCCATCACCTCTGAGGCGGGCGCGCACATCCATCTCGGAGCCACACGCTTTGTTTTTGAAAAAAACTGCCAGATGGCAGTCATGTCTCACGTGTGACGTGACTTGATGCGCTCGTTCGCCTCCACTGCACGCTCCAGGATCTCTAACGCAGCGCCTCCAGAATACCATTCATCGATTTTCTTGAGCAGAACATCTAATAAATGTTTTGTTCACTCGCTCCACATGCAAGACTATCGTCTTTAGATGACATTTGCAGTATAAATGCAGATACGAGGCCAATTTTTTATAAAGATTATTCCTAACACTGCATCTATCAAGGCTATTTTTATTTACTTCAATATAGCCGATATTTTATTATATTTCTGTTCATTATAATGAGGTTTGAGTGTAGAAAAATTTGTCACCTATTGAAAGATTCCAAGTCAGAAAGCCATCAGTTTTGCAGGCGCAATTAGCGAAAACTGGCCGAAAGATGAAACTGAAACTAGCTGGTGCACCGCAGACAAAGCAACCAGCACACAATCCAAGTTTTCCATTAACATACGAGGAAACATAACATGTGAGCAAACCTAACATGCGATTCCTCTAATGTGGTATACGTACTCGAATGCAACGTGTGCAGTATGTAGTACGTCGAACAAACAGAAACACCATTTAGGATTTGTTTCAATTATCACAAAGTCCATGCGAAATCAGCCTCAAATCTACTTCTATCTAAACATCTCGGCCTTCCCGACCATGCATTCGACAAACTATCAGTAACACTCTTAGAAACGGCATTCAGATCAAACCGAGAATGTGAACAACAAGAGTCATACCTCATCCACCAATTTAACACCCTCGAAAGAGGAATAAATGAGAATCCGGGTACACTTGTAGCAATTAAAGCATTAGAACACAATAACGGCAATAATGACAGTAATAATTGAGTTCACGGCACTGCAGCTGCAACGGTCACTGGACAACTGAAAATACTTCTGAAAGTACAGCTGTCGTCTGTTCCTGTTTCTATCTTACTGTCCAATCAATTGTGCCAAGCATAACATATCCAACAGCAACATTGGGCACAATCAGAAGACCCCTTCTGCGTAATCTAGGAATGAAGGATTGCTGTTATATATTTTTCATAATAAGTATTACACTTTCTTGAATATATTCAGGCTTCTTGGTATTATAATTTGCCTTGTTTGCTATTAGTCTGAACACTATTTCTAGAGCATGCTATTAATAGCAATGTTGCTATTATTATATCACTGTTATTTTCAACTACTCAACTTGTTTCTTAAAAGATGTATAATTTGTGGTGTTAGGGGTTTGGTACATTAACACTTTCACTGGGTAGCCGACTTCCGCGACAAAATTGTCTTCATTTGCACCGATTTCTTAACTCGTTGCACCTACCCCGCCTTCAGCATAAATCTGAAGTGTATCACTCGTCAAACTTGGTCCCACGGCGTCATCAGTAGACAGCGTTGCTAAAGTTTCCGGCAGATCCAGTGGGTCCGGCCGCGACTCCAACTCAGCTACCAAAGGCGCACTTGTAGCTGGTGCCTTCTTGTTCCAAGGCCGTTTTTTGCGGCTTCCAAAAGCTCGTCGTGATGATGGTTTCAGACAAAAGTCTCCACGAAACACGGTGCGTCGAGAAGCACGTATGATCGCAAAAGCACACACACAAACGGACAGCCACAGTGGCGAATGCAACACGCACACACGCACACACACACACACACACAACACACACACATTTTAGTTTGACGTGGGTGCACTGAAGGCCGATTTTATTGTGTTTAGCGACCGAATTCAGCGTTACCGATTTGAGAGTAAGTGTTCAAAAGTACAAATGCCCCAAAAGTAAGCTTTGCGAAAAATCAATTTTTTTGACAATTTTTGCAGAGAGCTTAAATTAGGAGAGCTTAAATTGGTCTGCGTATGATCCCTTAGGACTTGATATACCAGCTCAGTGCATTTTTACAAAATGTTAGGACAATTTCAGGGTTCATTCAGCACGATGCCTTCACTGATATAGTGGCATGTACCCAAAACCATGCTATGGCCATGCCATTTACATAGCTCTTTCAAGCTTTGGTGTTAAGGTACTCAGAAAAGAATGCAAGCTCTGTTTACTTTTATTTGTACTCAGAAAAGAATGCAAGCTCTATTTACTTTTATTTGTGTTCACAAACTTTTTTTTTACTTTGTGTCTTGCCATTCATTTCCAAACCTTTAGTGGTAAATGTTTGTTTTACAGTGACACAGCCAGAATTCAAGTTCAAGTTTGTTGGGCAAGGTTCATCAGGTGCAACGGCAGTTTCTTCAGCTTTCTCTTCTGGGTCTACAAGTAGCACAGCTAATGTGTCTGGTGCTCCAGCCCAGGCTTCCATCTTCAGCTCAGCCAAGCCCAGTGTGACACCACAAGTGACAGCAGCATCAACTGGCTTCAAGTTAGGGGACTTGCACACGTCCAAGCCTGGTTTCGTGGCTGTCAAGCCATCTTCGAGCCCAACTTTTATGCCTGTTTCACAGGCGTCTGCCCTCCAATCTGCAGCTGTCACTGAAGAGAGGGCTTCAAGTGATGGGGAACCAAAAGGTTTGTGCTCTAGTATAATTGCCTTGTGTTGAAAACAAATATGTAATTTGTTGAGCTGCTTGCCAAAAGATGAGGGTTCATTACTCATAGCAGCTGCACTTGCAGGGCTTGTTAGCCAATACGAAAGACGAAAGCCCCTCAAAACATGTTCATCCACATCGTGTCGTCTGCTCATTGTCTTTGTAGCATTGGCCTGCCTACCTTGTCAAAACTTGTTCTTTGCATAACACACGACAAAGCTGTTATGGAATGCCACCTCACTGGTTATTTGATGTTCAGACACCCACTTGTACAGGGCGTGTTTGCTTTTTTTTTTTTTTGTAAGGAATGCTGTTTTTATTATAGCAGCATATATATTGGCTCTTTAACCAGGTTATTTTTTGACAGCACCAAATGCAATAAGTCTCGTTACTGTGCGAAATAGTTATTTTCATATGTCTTGGGAAAATCATTTTTGCAAGTTTGAAAAACACTCCACCATGCAGTGTGGCTTACCAAATTTTGCACTATGAAATGCTCTTTCCAAAAAGTATATGTTGCAGAGCAACAAAAACATCTTGGAATAAATAAAAACCTGAAAAGTGTGTGATTTTTGGTTGCCAGCTAGTAAACAGTGCTATAAAAAACACTATATATACAAAAATATTCATAATAAACAAAGTTGAGAATATAAATTCTGAAACTAAATGACCCAGGAACAGTAAAAAACTAATTAATGTTGTATAAAGTCCGTCTATTCACACAAAGAAAATCAGAACTGAGGGTTTGATTCATTGCTCGTGGCAGGCGGTGAAACATAGCTTGGTTTTTCGTGAGACACAAGTGAGCTGGTATGCTCTTTTCAGTAAAGTTTTTTTTTTTTGCAATAAGAGACTACAGGTGTTACAATATAAATGGATGCCGGTGATGGGGATGATCCCTCTATAAATCTGATGTCGAACAAACTTCACTATTTCATCTAGCATCACCTCTTTCCATCAGCCACTTCACCCTGCATAGTTTAGTGTTTCAATATATGCATCCAAGAATCTTTCTTTGCATATTTGCGCATCGTAATATGAAAGTAAACATTATCGCATGCAGTTTTAAAACGTTTCACGCTGCTCCTTAGTGAGAGCCAGGATGTGTTCCGGTGGCCTTCTTGTCGTGAGAAGCGCTGCAGCCAGCGCCAGCACACCGCACCCCTGTGACGTGTGGACCTCCCACATAACCAGAGTAGCTATAATATTGTGCATAAAGGTCAGCAGCTATGCACTTGCAGCAGAGGAAACAACTTGAGACAGTAAACAAAACAAACACATGAACGGTTGCAGATGTCTCAGGCTGATGCAAAACATCGTCACCATAAAACTTGTTGCTGAGGTGCTGTCATGCTTTAACTCAATTTAGATGCGGTTACGAGACAGTTTTGAGCGGCACTTGTTATTGCAGCGCAGAAGATGTGCACCCATGTGCGCTTGATGACGACACCATAGGAGCGACTAATGACACTAGATGTGGCCCTGTGTCTTATATAACGATACAAGCAAGACTGAAGCTGCTGAAAACTGGTTGAAAGAGCCACCTCCCCAGTTTATACATGCAGTGGACCTTCAAAAATACTTTGCTGTAGAATAAATTTTCCCTGATTCTCAGCAACAGCTCTCTATTGAATGGCTGGCATAAATTTCTGAATAATATTACTGCTCAACATTATCAGATTGCAAAGCTTTTGCCTTAATTTGATATTTGGCTTGCAAAAGCTTTTTGAATACAGAACAATGATGGTACTGTAGCACAACCACGAGGGGCACATACTTCTGTAATGTTCGCCTGCCAAGTGTATTTTCCCAAACAACACATGAACATTGGTTTGCACAAAAGTCTGTCAAAAATCACAATGTTGCCAAAATGAACAAATTCGAATTGATTTTTAAGGTAGAGGGGCTGGACTATATACTAAGAAGTGCTGGGTGCACCAGAAGTGAGACTGCTGCGCATATTGCGCATTTTAAAGACGATAGGACCTTCGATAGGACCTTCGACGGCAAAATTTTGGCTCGTCTGTCTGTCTGTCTGCTTGTACATTTGTCTGTCTGTCCGCCATAACGATACCTCATATGGCACCGAGTGGCCAACTCCATCCACAGCGCCCACCAATATTGCTCAAGGTTTAGTGTTCATAGTTGTGGGATTGTCAATTAAAAAGCAATTATTGCACATATCTGAGGCGCCACAACAACGCTTCGATGTTTTCTATGTCTGCCTTTATACTAGAAGAGGCACACACAAGTAACTCTAAGAAATGTAGCGTTTAATCGCGCTGCGCTGACAGTGCAACACAATGCTCAAAAAGGTGTTTCCAACGCTTTGCTACGATGTCACGGTAGTGGCACCTGCCCGTCGCCTTGCGTTCTTCACCTTATCACCTCCGAGACTGGCGCGCGTCTTTCTCCGCAGGCTGCACGCCTTCGTTTTCGAAAATAACTGCCAGATGGCACTTGTGTCTAACGTGCCTAGATGTGCTCGTTCGCCTCCGCCACACGCTCGAGGCACTCTAACGCAGCGCCTGCAGAATACCATTCACCGAATTTCTTGCGCAAAACATCAAATAAACGTTTTGTTCACTCTCTCCAGATGCAAGACTATCGTTTTTTGACGACATTTACAGTGTAACATGTAGATTCGGGCCAATTTTTTCGATACATTTATCTTTTCTTTGACCAAGCTGCTCTAAAAACATTAAAATTGCAAAAATTGCACCGAACTGCTCCAAAACAGCCTCAAAAGCTAGAATTTTGATGCCAACCTCAGCTTCTGTGGGGAATAAAGGCAGAGTTGACTAATAAGACGCACCCAATCGTGTTTTTTTACTTTGCACTTTTCTGGTGACGAAAGCTTTCATGCATGGTGCCGCCATAATCTCCTCTAAAAAATTGCAAATATGCGTGACCCCGCAAAAATGTGTTGCTTTGCATCGAGGGTGCTGCTTCTGCTAGCCAGGCTGTGTGTTCTGGTGCCTCTGTCGCCTAGCGAAAACCAGAGTCAAGTGACGAGCGTTGTGGAGCTGACTCGCGGGTTCTTTGTTGTGCATAGCGCATCCCTCTGGTCGCTGCAGTGTTCATGTTAACGCTACTGCGTCCGGTCACCTGCGCATGCGCGTTTGCTGTGAGCGAGTAACTCTTAATGGGGAGTCATTTCCCTGTATGTGAGGCATCTCCTGGATGCTCTGGCGCGTGTACATGGGTTCTCAAAATGCGTCCTGTGAGGGGCAGAACGCGTGCAACCCATTCTCGGATTACGTTCATTAGCTACTGATTTATTTAGACAAGTGAGTTCTCATTGCATTTAAAAAAGCCACCATTGCACACAAAATTCGCAAATCAGTGTCTGCAGGTTAGAGAGACTTCGGTTATTTGCAAAGCCGTGGTGACACAACGCACATTCAAACCATTTTAAACTATATTAACGGGCACCTTGGTGCTTTATTCAGGACTTATGGCGCGTTGGCGATCACGTGGCACAGTTTTTATGAATGGTGATTTGCCACTGCTTCGTTTTGTAATCCAAACTCGCAACGAGCGCTTTAAGAGGCATCGCTTCGTGCCGGCTTTGGGCTACATGAGCTTTTAGGCTTAGCTTTATGTTCGATCGGTGTTTCGGTCAGCGGCCGTTCTGCTGTGCGACTTTGTTTCCTTTCTTTTATTCTTTTTGTTTTTGCAACAAAATTGGCCTCTGTACGTTCGGCGGTTCATTTGCAAGGACACTACTTTCATATCTGCGAATTTTTTAGAACGCTGTAAGCACTTTATGCGAGTCACTGCACGGGCAGCAATCGAAAGTCAATGTATTGGGTCCGTTCGATTCATCTGCACCAATCGGAACCAGTTCACGGCTGTGAACATGAAGTTCAGAAATTCTGCAGCGCGAGTTCAGCGGTGCGGGCACAGCCCAAATCTGAAACGATTGACAAGGAGCCGGCCTTATTTCTATTCGCTAATTTTACACCGTTCAGTCAACACTGACCACTGGCGAACCGCACATGCGGACAGTTTATGAGGCGCAAACATCTTGGAAAGACACACCACGTTATTAGTAGGGGGTATGGTGTCTACGCCTAAGTGCTGCGTTGTCACTCAGCTGCACGTGCGGCTGCACCAAACTGGCACCGTCAGCGTAGGAGGTGCAAGAAAATTGTGAACCAGTGCTGCACCTTTCGAAATAAATGGCAGGCTTCTGAGATCGTCAATGCTGCACCGCTGAAATGAATGGTAAGGTGCAGCACCTCGTAAACTGGTTCGCGTAGTGCAGGCGAATCGAACGGACCTATTATCGGAAGTTCTGCATTGATGGTGAGGACCTACTATATTAAATAAATAGAACTGGCCAACGTGTGCCATAATAATAACACGTTGTTAGTCACATGGAGAGGCATTATCAGTACCATTCGTTTATCATTTAGTGCCATATGCACACGCTTTACGAGAAAGTCGATGTGGTGAGGTTTCTTGGCTCCCGCGCTGCACTCTTGAAGGGGGTTTCACGTGAGGTTGCCGGGAACAATGGTGCAGCTCACTTTGGTTGTCTGTTTACGCTTAGAAGCAGACCGCGGAAGAACTATGTCACGGACAGCCGATTGTGTCCGTTCTGTCGCTGTATTACACTGTGGATCCCGGGCCCCGCAGTAGTTTCGAAATGCTACAGTAGTTTCGCCACCGCCTGCTATTGTGTGGTTGAGCGAGAGTCAGAAACTTTTCTGCACTTTGGCAAAAAAAAAGGAAGTGGCTTTGTGGTGGGTACTTTAGGCAATATTTTCCACGGCACTCAGTTTCTTTGTTTGTTGGCAGCATTGCCATAAGGCAGGAGATGCAAATTTGTAGCTGGTGGTTAATGCATAGTGTGTTAGTGCGTAGTTATGCCGCTGTCCCCGGTAGGTACATATTAACGAGGTTTCACTGTAATAAAGTACACAGTGTAGGCAGGGAGAATAAATAAGTCTGTAAATGACCCTTAGAACCTGA